TGAGAGGGAGGAGGGTCAGAGGGAGAAGCAGACTCCCTGCTGAGCAGGGAGCCTGATGTGGGACTCGATCCCGGGACTCCGGGATCATGACCTGAACCGAAGGCAGTTGCTTAACCAACTGAGCCACCCAGGCGCCCCTCAAAAAAAAAATTTTAAGGTTTTAATTTTTTTTATTACTTTTTTTAAATTTATTCATTTGAGAGAGTGAGCGAGAGCATGAGCAGGGGGAGGGGAGGATAGTCAGTAGGGAGAAGCAGACTCCCCACTGAGCAGGGAGCCCAATTCAGGGCTGTGGGGCTCTATCCCAGGACCCTGAAATCATGACCTGAGCAAAAGGCAGACGCTCCTAACGGTTTTTATTTTTAAGTAAGCTCTACACCCACCATGGGGCTCGCACTCACAAAGCCAAGATCAAGAGTTGCACGCTTCCCTGAGCCAGCCAGGCGCCCTCCCCCTCCACCACAAAAAAATTTTTTTAATCAGGTAAATGCTAAGAGCTTTCACTGTCCACATCTGAATCTATGAACTAGTGGTCACAAGAAGCATTCATTTTAATTATCTCAGACTAGGGAAGGATTTAACACATAAATGATATCACAGCCTAACATAAAAGTTTCCTCAGGAGTTCCAGAAAACGTGGAGGAAGAATTTCACCATGGACAGCAGTACCACATTCATACAGCAAGGAACAATTTGGCTGTAACTATGTATCACACTGTAATAGCACTGTTAATCACTTTTATTGGTTTCAAAATTTTGTCTGCATAACTTATAAATGTGTTATAATTTCATACTTGCTTAAAAGCTGTAAGTATAGGGGCACCTGGGTGGCTCAGTCGGTTAGGTATCTGCCTTTGGCTCGGGTCGTGATCCCGGGGTCCTGGGATCGAGCCCCACATTGGGCTCCCTGCTCAGCGGGGAGTCTGCTTCTCTCTCCCCATCTCCCTCTATGTATGTGCTCTCTCTCTCTAGTTCTCATTCTCTCTCAAATAAATAAATAAAATCTAAAAAAAAAAAAAAAAAGCTGTAAGTATAATGAGCTTATACCAAAGTTTACATTTATACTAACTTAAGTATTATTATAGTAAAAATAAATGTAAATCAATACTGAGGACTCAAGAGAATCTCAATATTACTTAAGTTTGAACAGTGATAATAGGGACCAAGAGTGGCATGGCTGAAAATGCCAGATGAAAAATCGGAGTTTAAATTCCCAGCTCTGTCACTTAAAACCATAAAATAAAGAAACTGAGCTACACAAACCCTAAGGTCTCTCTTTCACCTCCCTAAAATGAAATGAGTCTAAACAGCAGATTAGACATCTTAGGTTATCACTGTTACCAATCTCTGGGCGTGTGTGTGTGTGTGTGTGTGAGAGAGAGAGAGAGAGAGAGAGAGAGGCAGCTGCCAATGTCCATGGATACCCAGGGCTTGTTGTGCTTCCTAAGCGTGCTAACAGTCAATGGACTTGGGCACTGGACGGAAATAGTGATGGAGGTCAGGGGAGGCGTGTTTTAGAGTGCTGGGATGGCTGCCTACCTCACAACTCAGCCTTTTCAAGGAAAGGCCCCTAGTCACGGGGTTTTTGAACAGAAAGGACACCTGATTCAAGCAGGCCTTTCAACTCCCCCTGAGGAACCCAGAGCAGCATGGCAGAGGCTGGGCCTTGGCGATAAGGTAATAGCAGCCTGTACAAGGGACAATCAACAGACCGCCACTTCTGACAGCCCCCTCACTCTCGTTCTGTCCTTCCCAAGTCCTGCTCAGTTCAAGTCTCCCTAAGATCCTAAGGAGATGCCTTCCAATAAAATTCCTCTTTTAGTGAACTTTTTTTTTTTTTAAGTGAACTTTTTGTTGGTATTTAATATCTGAAAACAAAAGAATCTTAACTAATGAAGAGAACGGGCAGAAAGGATTTGGAATGAAACATTAAGTTAAAAAAAATTCTCCTAGTAAATTCTCCCAGAACCAAAAGGATTAAATTTGTCTAGCATGAAGAAGAGAATTAAACCAAGAAACTTTAATTCAGTAGATAAAAAGATACTTTTAACTTCATAAGAAGTAATATTACAGGGGCACCTGGGTAGTCAGTCGGTTAAGTGGCCAGCTTTTGATTTCGGCTCAGGTCATGATCTCAGGGTCCTAGGATTGAGCCCTACATCGGGCTCTGTGCTCAGGAGGTAGTCTGCTTTTCCCTCTCCCTCTCCCCCCCGCCCAGCTCGTGCTCTCTCTAATAAATAAAACTTAAAAAAAATGAGTCAAGTACAGTTCTCAGCAGGACTTGGTGTCTCTAAGAATCACTGCTCCCTCTGCTCCTCCCCCCACCCAGCTTGCAGGCCTGCATATACATGATCTCTCTCTCAAATCAATCAATCTTAAAAAAGAAAAGTAATGTGACAATGAGAACAAATGATTTCTTTCCATTTATTTATTTATATCTTAGCTCTGTTTTTTTCCACTTTAATGCTGACACTACATTTTTTATTTTTTAAAGATTTTATTTATTTATTTGACAGAGAGAGACATAGCAAGAGAGGAAACACAAGCAGGGGGAGTGGGAGAGGGAGAAGCAAGCTTCCCGCCGAACAGGGAGCCCGACGCGGGGCTCCATCCCAGGATCCTGGGATCATGACCTGAGCCGAAGGCAGATGCTTAACGACTGAGCCACCCAGGCGCCCCAACACTACATTTTTTAAAAGATGGGAGTTTTTCCTACTTTTCTGAGTTTCTACTGTCCTAAATACCCCCTCCTTTCTCCAACCTACCCAGAGGCAGATGGTTAGGGTTAAAAGAACATATGAAAAGTAGAAGAGAGGGCACAGCAAATCAAGTTAAGAGCTGGGGTGACCAGCTAGAAACAGCAATGGAGTCTGGGAGGCTCAATACAGGTAATATGCTTTATGGTAAATGCATTCCACCTATGTGGCGACTTCGACATATAAAAAGAAACTGAAAAAGTCAAGAGAAAAAGAAGCATCAGCAGGGCAGCTGTGCAAATGGGATACCTTCTCTGTAATGCCGTTGAACTTGGCCAGGATATTGAAGAGCGGCACCTGAGGGATAATGAGCTGCTCTTTCTCGTCCTTGTAGAGGGGAGCAGTAGGGAGATCCAGAGTCAGGTACATGAAGGTGGACTCCACCATTGTCTCCTGGTACTCGTCATTATGCAGCAGCTGTTCTTTTTCTTCTGCTGGCTAGAGACAAGGGAGAAGAGAAAGGAGGGAAGGAGTGTGAGCAGTACAGAGACCACCACACACATGGAAAGAAACAATGTTTTTGTTACATTTACTTCATTTTGTTTTGAAGTGAATGAAGAGGGTGCCCAAGAGACTGAGCATTTCATGGGCAGCAGCATCACCTACCTTGTTAGGGTAATGTAAAAACTGATGGGTTTCCAACTTCAAAGAGATTTTATTTAAATACCAGAATATTTAAAACGCTTTCAGATGATCTAGAAAGCTCACCTGAGCTTTCTGAAAAATCACGCCAGCACCACCCAGTGGCCGGGCCACTTAACCAGCGGACTATACCCTCCCATAACTCCCACACTTTGGCACACTGGCATGACAGGAACCTGAGGAATTGTCCCTTGGCCAGTGTTTTACAGAACCTCATCCTGGGGCAAGAGGACGTGACAGATCTGTAAGCCTGTCAACCCTAAATCCCCTCAGACAAAAGAAATCAGGCCAAGAGTCAGGTTCAACCCACTCACCAGATCAGGATGAGGAAGCTTTTTAGTGAAGATCCTCATGGACCCCTGGAAAACATCAGTCACAATAGCTGTACAAATAGAAATCAAAATGCAAATTCTGTCAGGTTGGGCAGCGTTTCCAAATATAGTCCTAACTTCTAAATTTCTGAAATAAACCAGCATCTTCCAGCATAAGACCCAAAGCTCTCACTAAACACAGAAGTACCTGTATAACACATACCACCACCTTCATCATTATTTGTGTAAATAATTATTTTATGGCTTTCTTCTCCACAAGATGCCCTTTGATCCTCCAGCACAGGGCCTGGCCCATAAGAGAAAAATTAAGTGTGTCTGAAATGAATGAATGATTTATAAAACCTAGGGACTTACGAAGTCACAAAGAATTCACAAGCAAACCAAGACACGACCAAAGAATTTCCCATAACCATATGCTGTGTGCAAAGGAAGAGTCCACCTTGTGCTAGACATAAAAGAAAATCCAGACTAAGGGACGGAGCAGAAGAGACCCAAAGCAAAGAGGGAAAGCACAACAGGGTTCTAGAATCCGGACAGGACACGAGTAACAGAACTCAGAGGCACAGGTTGAAGGCATCTGGTGGAAGAGGCAGGGCCACCTCGTAGAAAGAGCACCAGCCCACAATTCCACATCAATAAACATCAACACCAAAAAAAAAATAAAAAATAAACATCAACACCAGCAGAACCGAGGAAAAGGACAAGATAAAAAACTGCATTCAGTCTCCAAAATTATAAATCTAGCTTGGCAGTCTCTAAGCTGAGAGTTATTTCTGGCATTCATGGAAACTAACTACTGATATGCCACCATGGATGTTAAGGGACACAGGACTTGAAGTCTGAGAATCTGTATGGAGGCCAGCCTCATTTCTCCAAGTATAGGCCCAGAAGGAGGAACCAGCTTTCACTCTGCTTTACCAGTCAACTTAGAAGCCAGGCAAACACTCAGTGAGCCCTCCTCACATCAACTCTTGCACTACCAGACTAGCAGCTGACAACATGCTGCCCAGCCCCTCAGTGTGGAACTGGGTCAGGGTTTCTAGAGTATAATTATATCCATTTCCATGTATTAAGCATGCCATTGGATTAACCATATCCTAATCTTTTTAAATGGAGAGGAGCCTATTCAGGAATAAAATTTAGCTCACGTGTACATAAACACTATCCTGAGACACCAAAAATCAACAGTTAAGAAAAGGATGGGAAGTTGCAAAGTGCCCCTAAAAGGAAGCAAACAAAAAAGAGCTCTCTTTTACAAAAGAACATGACTTACTCTTCTTTTTCTTCTTTGTGCCCCCCAGCGCTGAGTGTAGAGCATTCAGAAACCAGGACAGAAAGTCAACTCCATCCCCTGGAAAAGAAGGAAGGGGGGGCATGTCGAAGGTGGAAATTAGTACAACCCAAACCATGCCCTGGTTGGCAGGACGCCACATTCCTGGTTTTCCTCCTTCCCTTCAGGCCACACCATCCCATCCCATGGGCATCCTCCTCTATTTGGCCATTAAATGCTGACACTCCTCAAGGTCAAGTTCTTAGTCTTCTGATCTCTACTCTCTCTCTGGGCTCTCTGCCCAACCAGGACCTTCAATTATCATCTCTACTTCAAACCTGTCTCTCACCACCCACCAAAAGCCAGTATTGAATTTCTCCTCTAAATCACTCCTCAGCCAGAATCATGTTTTTAAAACTAAGTTTGATGTCACATCTTGGCTTAAAAGCCTTCACTCACTCCCCACTGGTGTCAGGATATAACCCAAGCTCCTTCCACCTGAACAAGATGATCCAGTCCCTCCCTCCCACCTCGGCTCTCACGCTGTCCGCTGGACTCCAAGCGCCCAGCTACTGGCAGCCTTCCATCTGTTCCGGGCACATCCACACTGCTGGCAGCATCCTCTCTACCTGGAGTGCCCAGCCCCGACCTAGCTCCGCTGTGCCTGGAACTCAGCTAGCCCCTCCTCCGCTCTGACCCAGCCGGCCGCCCATGTGCTCAGCTGGGGCTCCTTGCTCCACGCCCCCTCCAAGAGCACACTTCACTTCCTCTGGCACAGCACTTACACCCTGGAGTCACCTTTTTACACAACTATCTTCCCCACCAGAACGGGAGCTCCTGGAAGAAAAACACTGTGCTGCTTATCCCCGTAGCTTTAAAACCTATGACAGCAGCAGGAGAGGTGGTGAATAAACAGACAGGAGGCAAGAGGACGCTGTATGAGATCCAGGCGCTAAGAGCTCCAGAATGTCCACTTTACTCACACGGCAATAATTAGCTGGACTTGGAGGGATGAAAAGAGTCAAAATAGGTCATCGGAATATCTAGTCTGCAACATAACAAAATGAGAAGCAAAGGTGGCAAGTGCTTCAAGCTTGGTGCCTTTCCCAGCCTCCTAGCTTTCCCCTGAGCCATACAGTTTAGTTTACCAAATAAGACCGACTTTCTATCCAGCTCAAGTCTCAGGACTCTGAGCAGGGCAGGCTGATGAAAGAGGAGTGAGGAACCCAATCACGCTATCAACTAAACACCCAGTTACTACAAAGTTCACTGCAAGCACAAGTAAATCTGCTCATCAAACTAGTTTTGTTGCCCCACCATCAGAAAAGATGAAAGACTCGTTCCTTACCTTGCTTGGTGATCTGAAAGGTCTTCTTGCTGCAAAGGACAACAGCCTGAAGCATCTCATGGGGAGAGACATGTGCCTTGAAATTTCGAGGGTTCCAGAGCTTTCTCATCAGCTCTCCAAAACGCTGGACCAACAAGAACATGATATCCCCTGGAGGACGCTTGATGTTCTTATAATTGTCTTCTTCCAAGAAGTAGTTCCGGAGAGGAGGAACATTAGACAAAGCCTGGAAGTTGAACACTCCAATTAATCCAGGGCCCCTGTGCACAGCCCTGGGGACAAGCTCTTCTACTAGAACTGGGCCTATGATGGCCTTCAAGAGTCAGAAGGAAATGCTCAGGTTTAAAGTTCATGTTATAGAAACATCCTCTGTACTAAGTCACATAAAGTCCAGTTCTGCAGACACTTTACTGACGTAGACATGATAAAGTTTTGTTAAGACTTTACTTTTTTTTTTAAATCTCACTTTTTTTTTTAAGATTTTATTATTTATTTGTCAGAAGTCGGGGGGAGCACACAAGCAGGGGGAGTGGCAGGCCTAGGGAGAAGCAGGCCCACCATTGAGCAAGGAGCCCGATACAGGACTCGATCCCAGGACCCTGGGATCATGCCCTGGGCCGAAGGCAGACACTCAACCGACTGAGTCACCCAGACATCTAATGGTTTTACTTTTTTTTTTTTTTAAGCAATCTCTACCCCCAACATGGGGTTTGAACTCACAATCCCAAGATCAGGGTCACATGCTCCACCAACTAAGCCAGCCAGGCACCCCATGGAAGTTTAAAAAAAAAGTATTCAAGTCCCTAGCCACTGACCAACTTTTTAGATTTTATTCACCACTGAACAACTTTTTTTTTTTTTTAAGGTTTTATTTATTTATTTGACAGAGAGAGACAGCGAGAGAGGGAATACAAGCAGGGAGAGTGGGAGAGGGAGAAGCAGGCTCCTCGCTGAGCAGGGAGCCTGACACCGTGCTCAATCCCAGGACCCTGGGATCATGACCTGAGCTGAAGGCAGATGCTTAACAACTGAGCCACCCAGGGGCCCCTAAACAACTTTTTTTTTAAATAATTTCCTTTATTTACTCTAATCAGGCCTGTGACTATGTTTGAAATCATCTTAAAATTTGGTGTTTTTCCCAAAGTGGTATTTACTAAGAGAACGGTAATATAAAATAAAATGAAAGAAAAATGAATTATACATAAAAATGACACAAAATGAACATATATGTAAAAATTTTTAATTCTGTTAGGATCAAGGGGCACCTGGGTGGCTCAGTCAGTTAAGGGTCTGCCTTCAGCTCAGGTCATGATTCCAGGGTCCTGGGATCGAGCCCCACATGGGGCTCCGTGTTCAGCGGGGAGTCTGCTTCTACTTCTCCCTCTGCTCCTCCCCCCCTGCTCGGTGCTTGCTCTATCTCGCGCTCTCTCTCTCAAATAAATAAATCTTAGAAAAAAAAAATCTGTTAGAATTGAAATGGTCAAAAGGTTTAGGAAAACAAAAATACATTTTAGCTCATTAAGCAAAAAGATAAAGACTAGCCATGTTGGTTCAGGAAGAAATACATGCTCATTAGTGTGAGCTACAAAACTGGGAGGAAGACCACAGAACAGACCCAAAATAAATAGTTTGCCCGCAGGCCCCTCCTGATGGGTTTGTGAATCCTTACCAACAATGCTTACTATGAGCACAACCTTCTGTGGCGAGGTAATCCATTTAGAAAGGAGGACCAAGATTTCTACTAAACACAATAAACCCAGGCATCTTCGAGGAAGACAACTCAGGACACGGGAGCACCATAACAACAGATGTGATTAGGAAAGCCCCTACAAGTTTAGCTCAGATAAACAAGAACTTCATGCATAGAGAATAATTATTTTAAAAAACTAGTTACTCTCTAAAGGAAAGGAGTACGGATAAAGTTCTTCCTAGTTCTCAGTCATCCAAGCTGTGGAGGGAGGTTGCTCTCCGGCTTCAGCAACCATTACAAAAAGTATCAGGGAGAGGGGCGCCTGGGTGGCTCAGTTGTTAAGCATCTGCCTTCGGCTCAGGTCATGATCCCAGAGTCCTGGGATCGAGCCCCGCATCGGGCTCCCTGCTC